AAATTTGGTAATAAGTAATACATATTTTATGAAAAAGAGGATAAATAATATACAAGGTATGATGTAGCACGTAATGAAAGTAGTTTATTAGATTATGTATTGGTGGATAAAAGGTGATGGGTAGGCTCCAGGATGTACATGTTTATAGAGGGGCAACTGATATATCGGATCATTTTTTAGTTGTAGCTACAGTTAGAGTAAGAGGTAGATGGGAAAAGAGGAAGGTGGCAACAACAAGTAAGAGGGAAGTGAAAGTGTATAAACTAAGGGAGGAGGAAGTTCGGGTGAGATATAAGCGACTATTGGCAGAAAGGTGGGCTAGTGCAAAGATGAGTAGTGGGGGGTTGAAGAGGGTTGGAATAGTTTTAAAAATGCAGTATTAGAATGTGGGGCAGAAGTTTGTGGTTATAGGAGGGTGGGGGCAGGAGGAAAGAGAGTGATTGGTGGAATGATAAAGTAAAGGGTGTGATAAAAGAGAAAAAGGTAGCTTATGAGAGGTTTTTACAAAGCAGAAGTGTTATAAGAAGAGCAGAGTATATGGAGAGTAAAAGAAAGGGAAGAGAGTGGTGAGAGAGTGCAAAAGGAGAGCCGATGATAGAGTGGGGGGAGGCACTGTCAAGAAATTTTAATGAAAATAAGAAAAAAATTTTTGGGGTGAGTTAAAACAAGTTAAAAAACCTAGGGAAAATATGGATTTGTCAGTTTAAAAACAGAGTAGGGGGGTTAGTAGATGGGGAGATGGAGGTATTGGGTAGATGGCGAGAATATTTTGAGGAACTTTTAAATGTTAAGGAAGAAACAGAGGCAGTAATTTCATGCACTGGTCAGGGAGGTATACCATCTTTTAGGAGTGAAGAAGAGCAGAATGTAAGTGTGGGGAGGTACGTGAGGCATTATGTAAAATGAAAGGGGGTAAAGCAGCTGGAACTGAGGGGATCATGACAGAAATGTTAAAAGCAGGGGGGGATATAGTGTTGGAGTGGTTGGTACTTTTGTTTAATAAATGTATGAAAGAGGGGAAGGTACCTAGGGATTGGCAGAGAGCATGTATAGTCCCTTTATATAAAGGGAAAGGGGACAAAAGAGACTGTAAAAATTATAGAGGAATAAGCTTACTGAGTATACCAGGAAAAGTGTACGGTAGGGTTATAATTGAAAGAATTAGAGGTAAGACAGAATGTAGGATTGCGGATGAGCAAGGAGGTTTTAGAGTGGGTAGGGGATGTGTAGATCAGGTGTTTACATTGAAGCATATATGTGAACAGTATTTAGATAAAGATAGGGAAGTTTTTATTGCATTTATGGATTTAGAAAAGGCATATGATAGAGTGGATAGAGGAGCAATGTGGCAGATGTTGCAAGTATATGGAATAGGTGGTAAGTTATTAAATGCTGTAAAGAGTTTTTATGAGGATAGTGAGGCTCAGGTTAGGGTGTGTAGAAGAGAGGGAGACTACTTCCCGGTAAAAGTAGGTCTTAGACAGGGATGTGTAATGTCACCATGGTTGTTTAATATATTTATAGATGGGGTTGTAAAGGAAGTAAATGCTAGGGTGTTTGGGAGAGGGGTGGGATTAAATTATGGGGAATCAAATTCAAAATGGGAATTGACACAGTTACTTTTTGCTGATGATACTGTGCTTATGGGAGATTCTAAAGAAAAATTGCAAAGGTTAGTGGATGAGTTTGGGAATGTGTGTAAAGGTAGAAAGTTGAAAGTGAACATAGAAAAGAGTAAGGTGATGAGGGTGTCAATGATTTAGATAAAGAAAAATTGGATATCAAATTGGGGAGGAGGAGTATGGAAGAAGTGAATGTTTTCAGATACTTGGGAGTTGACGTGTCGGCGGATGGATTTATGAAGGATGAGGTTAATCATAGAATTGATGAGGGAAAAAAGGTGAGTGGTGCGTTGAGGTATATGTGGAGTCAAAAAACGTTATCTATGGAGGCAAAGAAGGGAATGTATGAAAGTATAGTAGTACCAACACTCTTATATGGGTGTGAAGCTTGGGTGGTAAATGCAGCAGCGAGGAGACGGTTGGAGGCAGCGGAGATGTCCTGTTTAAGGGCAATGTGTGGTGTAAATATTATGCAGAAAATTCGGAGTGTGGAAATTAGGAGAAGGGGTGGAGTTAATAAAAGTATTAGTCAGAGGGCAGAAGAGGGGTTGTTGAGGTGGTTTGGTCATTTAGAGAGAATGGATCACAGTAGAATGACATGGAAAGCATATAAATCTATAGGGGAAGGAAGGCGGGGTAGGGGTCGTCCTCGAAAGGGTTGGAGAGAGGGGGGTAAAGGAGGTTTGTGGGTAAGGGGCTTGGACTTCCAGCAAGCGTGCGTGAGCGTGTTAGATAGGAGTGAATGGAGACGAATGGTATTTGGGACCTGACGATCGTTGGAGTGTGAGCAGGGTAATATTTAGTGAAGGGATTCAGGGAAACCGGTTATTTTCATATAGTCGGACTTGAGTCCTGGAAATGGGAAGTACAATGCCTGCACTTTAAAGGAGGGGTTTGGGATATTGGCAGTTTGGAGGGATATGTTGTGTATCTTTATATGTTTATGCTTCTAGACTGTTGTATTCTGAGCACCTCTGCAAAAACAGTGATAATGTGCGAGTGTGGTGAAAGTGTTGAATGATGATGAAAGTATTTTCTTTTTGGGGATTTTCTTTCTTTTTTGGGTCACCCTGCCTCGGTGGGAGACGGCCGACTTGTTGAAAAAAAAAAAAAAAAAAAAAAAAAAAAAAAAAATAATAATAATAATAATATTGGCAGTTTGGAGGGATATGTTGTGTATCTTTATATGTGTATGCTTCTAGACTGTTGTATTCTGAGCACCTCTGCAAAAACAGTGATAATGTGCGAGTGTGGTGAAAGTGTTGAATGATGATGAAAGTATTTTCTTTTAGGGGATTTTCTTTCTTTTTTTTGGGTCACCCTGCCTCGGTGGGAGGCGGCCGACTTGTTGAAAAAAAAAAAAAAAAAAAAAAAAATAATAATAATAATAATCGTCTTTATTTCTACCAGTACATGATACAACTTATGCAGACCACAGCTGACATCAATGATATATTATACAGAAAGTCCCTGGTTATGCAGAGCATTTCCTGCAACTTAGGGTATGTCCCCAGGATGCCACTCATACCAGTCACCTAATACCCAGGTACCTACTTACTGCAAGGTGAACAAGTACAGCAGGTGTCTTAAGGAAACACATCCTAATGTTTGCACCTATTTACATTTGGCAATATACTGAGTAATTTACATTTAGTAATTTATACAGGAAAGGGATTTTGAACCCCATTACAGTGGACCCCGGTTAACGATATTTTTTCACTCCAGAAGTATGTTCAGGTGCCAGTACTGACCGAATTTGTTCCCATAAGGAATATTGTGAAGTAGATTAGTCCATTTCAGACCCCAAAAAATACACCTACACAAGCACTTACAAAAATAAACTTACATAATTGGTCGAGTTGGGAGCTAATCGTTATCCGGGGGTCCACTGTATTGTATACAGCATATTGTATGACTCGTATGGGTGATACATTACATTCAAGAAGCCTATGTACAACAGTATAAAAATAATGAGTATTTTCAGTCTGCTCAAGACCTGAGGAGGGTCATAATCAGACTGAAAATATCTGAGTCAAAACTGTACTTGATTGTATATGTATGTGTACAGTGGACCCCCGGTTAACGATATTTATTCACTCCAGAAGTATGTTCAGGTGCCAGTACTGACCGAATTTGTTCCCATAAGAAATATTGTGAAGTAGATTAGTCCATTTCAGACCCCCAAACATACACGTACAAACGCACTTACATAAATACACTTACATAATTGGTCGCATTCGGAGGTAATCGTTATGCGGGGGTCCACTGTATATAGCTTCACACAATAGGTACTCGGCCTCGTCCCACATTCGTAAAAAAAAATTTCTTATATACACAGGGAACTAGTTGGGAAAAAACTGTATCATTTACTATGACAACAAGTAAATATTCTGCCAATAATTTATGGAAAAATAGTCACCTAGTGTACGCCAAAAGTGTATACTACTGTAATATTGTAATAACTAGTGTATACCCAGTGTATACTACTGTAATAACTAGTGTACACTCAGTGTATACTACTATAGTAACTAGTGTACACCCAGAGTGTATACAATAACCAGTGTACACCCAGAGTACACTACTGTAGTAACTAGTGTACACTCAGTGTATACTACTGTAGTAACTAGTGTACACTCAGTGTATACTACTGTAGTAACTAGTGTACACTCAGTGTATACTACTGTAGTAACTAGTGTACACTCAGTGTATACAATAACTAGTGTACACTCAGTGTATACTACTGTAGTAACTAGTGTACACCCAGAGTGTATACAATAACTAGTGTACACCCAGAGTATACTACTGTAGTAACTAGTGTACACTCAGTGTATAACTACTGTAGTACTAGTGTACACTCAGTGTATACTACTGTAGTAACTAGTGTACACTCAGTGTATACTACTGTAGTAACTAGTGTACACTCAGTGTATACTACTGTAGTAACTAGTGTACACTCAGTGTATACTACTGTAGTAACTAGTGTACACTCAGTGTATACTACTGTAGTAACTAGTGTACACCCAGAGTGTATACAATAACTAGTGTACACCCAGAGTATACTACTGTAGTAACTAGTGTACACCCAGAGTGTATACAATAACTAGTGTACACCCAGAGTATACTACTGTAGTAACTAGTGTACACTCAGTGTATACTACTGTAGTAACTAGTGTACACCCAGAGTGTATACAATAACTAGTGTACACTCAGTGTATACTACTGTAGTAACTAGTGTACACCCAGAGTGTATACAATAACTAGTGTACACCCAGAGTATACTACTGTAGTAACTAGTGTACACCCAGAGTATACTACTGTAGTAACTAGTGTACACCAGAGTATACTACGTAGTAACTAGTGTACACCCAGAGTGTATACAATAACTAGTGTACACCCAGAGTATACTACTGTAGTAACTAGTGTACACCCAGAGTGTATACAATAACTAGTGTACACCCAGAGTATACTACTGTAGTAACTAGTGTACACTCAGAGTATACTACTGTAATATGCTAGCTAACATACACCCGGACTATATGCTATAACTGATCATCTATACACACCTAGAATAAGTACTATAATACTGCATCAACTTCTATATAGACTCATCATTGTGTCATTAAGGTTCAGAATACATTACATAATGCTAATGCTCCAGTGCATCTAATAAATCTCTCAATAAAACAATAAATAACTGATCGACAAAAATGCCGCTGGTGCTAAATTTATTAAGGGATGATGTATGCGAGTGTATTATATTTTTGTAAAAAGTTTTCTAATTTTTTTCCAGCCAAAATTTCCTTCTGTGGAAGAGCTACGTCCAGTAAGGAGGATAATTTATTACTGAAAAAAATCTAGAATACAGTATACGAGGTCACAGGAATAAAATATTAATACAGTAAACCCTTGGTATATGGGACTTCTGACTCATGAAATTGTGATAGCATGAATGCAAGTTAGTCACAGAAAAGATCAGGTTCCAATCCACGGCCTGAGAGTTTTACGGCTCACCTGCCATGAGTTTGACAGGCAAAATCCGCTATGTAAAAAGTGCATTAAATTCCTTTTTTAAACTGTTTATTGCAGTGTATCTGTAAATTGTCTGCACAGTACTATATTAATATAGAGTAGGACTACCATATCCACAGGTCCGGTTTCTGCAGCTAACCCTTGCCCAAAATTTAACTTTGAATTTTGCTTAATAATGACTCAAAAGTGGAAAAGTGGCAGCTCTTCAAAGCCTAAGAGAAGCTGTGAAGTGCTTCCCATAAGTGAAAACTTTATCATAGGTATGTATATAAATGAAAAATGACTTATAGGGTTTGGGATAGGTTTTGGAATGTATCACCCACCGATACAGGGCGACTACTCTACGGCTAATCACTTTAGTTCTTTTCTGTGATTTTTAACATTATTTTGATGTAATAGACACTCTGAGAATCTCCGTTATTGAAATAATGTGGGTAGAATTACCGAAAATGTATTAGGAAAAAAGGACACATGAGCGACTAGCATGGCAGTTTGTTGTGGCAATGTTTCACTCTCCAGGAGCTTGAAGTTGTTACCGTGAATGTTGTCACGATAAAATGTCACATAAGTCGCACATGCATCCTTTTACCAAACATCCCCATTATTACAATAAGTCCTTAACAGAAGATTCTGAACATGTACATATGTTGAGGATTTACTGTAGTTTGTTATACGGTGGGTTTACTGTATATACATTTAATATAAATTGAATAGTGATGTATCAAGCAGTTAAGGCAAAGTCTGCCTTCAAGAGAAGTTTTCCTGTTTGAAGATGGTAGTGATAGCTTCCAGTACACATTTAACTGTGATAGATGGTTCTTGAAGTTTGGACTCGACGGGAAGGAAGTCCCGTGGCGAGTGTTCCAGCAGCTGTTCTCCGTTGTAAACTCCAGTCTATAATGATGTTAAGACAGGAATTAGTCTAATGCTTATAATATTAATAGTAATAATAATAGTAATAGTAATAATAATAATAATAATAATAATAATAGAAATGATAACAATAATAATAATAATAATAATAATAGAAATGATAACAACAACAATAATAATAATAATAATAATAATAATAATAATAATAATAATAATAATAATAATAATAATAATAATAATAATAATAATAATAATAATAATAATAATATTATTATTATTATTATTATTATTATTATTACTGTTATTTTATTTCAGCATGATAGTGTTTGTACAGTGATGGATGACATTCTTAATTATGCACACAGAAAGCCGATAATCCTAACAGTAACTGCCATTACTACACTGCTAGTCAGTGGTGTCGTACAGGGGGGGGGGGGATTCTTTTTTCCTTTTTTCCTGGCACTAACATCTGTTGGCGGGCCGTCCCGGGTGACACCACAGAGCCTCTAAAGAAGGTAACACTAATGCGCAAAACAGTGCTACAGCTACATAAGAGAAAAATCCTTCATTTCTATATAGCCTGTTATATGATTACAGAGTACAAATAAGCCTATATAGGGAAAATCATTGATTTTGATGATGTGATAGATGATTTTGCAGGATTGAAGGCAAGGAAATGTAAGATCAGATTCACTGAGATGTTACCTGTACTCAAGGTCAAATCAGAACCAGCATTTCTCTGATAATGCAATTTTTTTCTTTATTTTTCAAGTTTTTTTTTTTTTTGCATTGTTGAAGATGAATAAATGTAGGATCTGTTGCTGTACTCAAAGTGGTATATGAGTTTATATTTCCTCAATATTGCTACGATTATTAATTTTATCATTAATAAAGTTGAGAGGTATTCTCCTGTTTGGTTTATGGCCCTTAAATGTTCTCACTGCTAAACGTTAGTCACTGGTCATGCAGTAGTGACGTAACTGGTCATGCAGTAGTGACGTAACTGGAGTTTACTCCCCCCAATCCCCCCACCCTTGGATTTCATGGGGGTGACACCAAAGATGCCGCCCCGGGTGACACCAACCCTAGCAACGCCACAGCTGCGAATCAGGATAAAACTCTACTCAATGCCAGCAAGAACATTACAGTTTTCAACTATAATGTTAGATCATTGAGTAAACACTATGATGGCCTCCTTGCATTACTGAAGTCTCCAAATTCTACTATAACTTTCATTATTCTTAGTGAAACCTGACTCAAACAAGATTTGAGACGTATTTACCATACCTGGTTAAACAGCCATATATAACTGCAGCCTGACCAACCAGGAGGAGGCACTGCCATCTATTATTCTGATGAACTGGAATGTATGAAATTTCCTTGCACAAGGGATGACAACGGTGAATATATAATAGCTAAATTCACATCAAAAAAACTTAAGAAACCCATAACAGTTTACCTGGAGTTTACCTGGAGAGAGTTTCGGGGGTCAACGCCCCCGCGGCCCGGTCTGTGACCAGGCCTCCTGGTGGATCAGCGCCTGATCAACCAGGCTGTTGCTGCTGGCTGCACGCAAACCAACGTACGAGCCACAGTCCGGCTGATCAGGAACTGACTTTAGGTGCTTGTCCAGTGCCAGCTTGAAGACTGCCAGGGGTCTGTTGGTAATCCCCCTTATGTATGCTGGGAGGCAGTTGAACAGTCTCGGGCCCCTGACACTTATTGTATGGTCTCTTAACGTGCTAGTGACACCCCTGCTTTTCATTGGGGGGATGGTGCATCGTCTGCCAAGTCTTTTGCTTTCGTAGTGAGTGATTTTCGTGTGCAAGTTCGGTACTAGTCCCTCTAGGATTTTCCAGGTGTATATAATCATGTATCTCTCCCTCCTGCGTTCCAGGGAATACAGGTTTAGGAACCTCAAACGCTCCCAATAATTGAGGTGTTTTATCTCCGTTATGCGCGCCGTGAAAGTTCTCTGTACATTTTCTAGGTCGGCAATTTCACCTGCCTTGAAAGGTGCTGTTGGAGCAGTCTACAGACTACCACACACAAATACTACTTACAATTTTAGTGGTAACCTTAGAAGCATGATAATTGACTCAGAGTTGAATAAACACCACCTGATACTTACAGGAGACTTCAACATAACCCTCATCCAAGCAACTGACCCTCCAGTAGCTGATTTCACAAATACTATGAGCAACTGCTTGCTACTACCCTCTATAACTAAGTCAACAAGAATCTCTGAGACAAGTGCCTCATCACTTGACCATATCTGGATCAACACAGTATCTCCACAACAAGCTGGTATAATCACAGACAACACTACAGGGTTTGGGATATTAGCAGTTTGGAGGGATATGTTGTGTATCTTTATACGTATATGCTTCTAAACTGTTGTATTCTGAGCACCTCTGCAAAAACAGTGATAATGTGTGAGTGTGGTGAAAGTGTTGAATGATGATGAAAGTATTTTCTTTTTGGGGATTTTCTTTCTTTTTTGGGTCACCCTGCCTCGGTGGGTTACCCTGCCTTGGTGGGAGACGGCCGACTTGTTGAAAAAAAAAAAAAAACACTACAGACCACTACCCTACCTTTCTCATAACCGACTCATGTAAACTGAACTTCCCACTTAATGCCCATTGACTCTATTATACTTCCAACTTAAGTATATCCCCACTGACCATACTGCACTTCCCACTTAAATGTATCCCCACCAACCATACTGTACTTCCCCCTTACGCAGTTTCACGGAGGTAAAAGATTGACCACCCCAAAACATCTATGTCTGAATTCAACTTGCCTTAACTAGAACAGAATAACACTGGTCTGCCATGAAGCCTTTAAAGTCATGGGTAGACAGGTCGAGACCTCTTGCACCTTGCATAACAATATGTTTCTTGCTGCCTCGATGCCTGCGTACGTACTCCTGGTACAGATTCATTCCAAATATATCCGTGTGTACGTTATCTCTGCAAGAATAAAAGATATATTATAGTTCTTTTATAGTCATTCCTATTATATCTATCTATATATTATATCTGCAAGAAGAAAAGATATATTATTCTTCTTTTATAGATTCATTCTTAATATATTTGTGTGTACATTATATCTGCAACAAGAAAAGGTAGACAGCAACCACCCAGGGAGGTACTACCGTCCTGCCAAGTGAGTGTAAAATGAAAGCCTGTAATTGTTTTACATGATGGTAGGATTGCTGGTGTCTTTTGTCTGACTCATAAACATGCAAGACTACAGGTACATCTTGCTGCTTCTACTTACACTTAGGTCACACTACACATACATGTACAAGCATATATATACACACCCCTCTGGGTTTTCTTCTATTTTCTTTCTAATTCTTGTTCTTGTTTATTTCCTCTTACCTCCATGGGGAAGCGGAACAGAATTCTTCCTCCGTAAGCCATGCGTGTTGTAAGAAGCGACTAAAATGCCAGGAGCAAGGGGCTAGTAACCCCTTCTCCTGTATATATTACTAAATGTGAAAAGAGAAACTTTTGTTTTTCTTTTTGGACCACCCTGCCACGGTGAAACTTTTGTTTTTCTTTTTGGGCCACCCTGCCACGGTGGGATACGGCCGGTTTATTGAAAGGAAGAAGAAAGATCTGCCCTGAAGATTACGCTTCATTACTTTGATGGTATATCTACCTCAGACTACTATATACATTTCAGAATACAGTAGTCACCCCGTATCCACACGGAATATGTTCCAAGAACCTGCTGTGGATACCGAAACCCTATAAATAAGTCCTATACATACCTATTATAAAGTTTAATTGATAAATTATGCATAATAAGAGGAGAATTATCATTGATGGGAAGCACTAACGGCTTCTCTTAGGCTTTGAAGAACTGCCTGCGCCTCTACTTTTGTGCTTTGGGGCCATTATTATGCAAAATTAAGAGGTATTTTTGGGTCAGAGGAAACAGTGGATAACTGAAACCATGGATACCGAATCAGTGGATACGGATATTCTACTCTAAATCAATATTTTCATTATCATTTTCAATAATCGCAGAACTTTTAGATTTTACAAATAAAACTTACCCAATCGCATAAAGTTTAGTAATAGGGTGATTAATGCCTATGGACCTGGCATGGTGCTGGACCATAGTTTCCGCATGGTAGTAGGTAATTTCTGAAGGTTTGCCGACCAACGCCGTGTAGATCAGATCGTTACCCGTTACTTTTTTGTATAAGGCTTCTAGGCACAGTAAGAACGCACCATGCCCAAATCTGTTAAAAAATGAATATTAACACAAAAAGAATATTAGCATACAAAAATGAGTATCATTAACAAAAATATCAAGGTAAACATTTGTAAAGCACTCGTACATGGGTTGGTAGCGCACTCAGCTCACACACTGAGGTCTGGGGTTCGATCCCTGGTATGGGTGGAAATATTTAGGCATGTTTCTTTAAGACACCTGCTGTCTATGTTCATCCAGCAGTAAGTAGGTACCTGGGTGTTAGTCACCTAACACCTGCTGTCATTGTTCACCTAGCAGTAAGTAGGTACCTGGGTGTTAGTCACCTAACACCTGCTGTCATTGTTCACCTAGCAGTAAGTAGGTACCTGGGTGTTAGTGGACTGGTGTGGGTCACATCCTGGGGACAAAACTGACCTAATTTGCAAGAAATATTCCGCATAACAAGGGACTTCCTATATAGTAGTATGTCACTGATGTCAGCTATGATCTGTATAAGTTTATTATAGAAATAATAACTATTATTATTATTATACTAGTTACTATAATTTAGTTTCAAAGGCTGTCTGAAATGCCTTGCATAATAAGTGAAGCGCTGTAAAGTGAAGCACTGTAAAGTGAAGCACTGTAAAACAAAGCACTGTAAAGTGAAGCACTGTACAGCAAAGAGCTGTAAAGCAAAGTGCTGTAAAGTGAAGCACTGTACAGCGAAGTGCTGTAAAGCAAAGTGCTGTAAAGTGAAGCACTGTACAGCGAAGTGCTGTAAAGCAAAGTGCTGTAAAGTGAAGCGCTGTAAAGCAAAGTGCTGTAAAGTGAAGCACTGTACAGCGAAGTGCTGTAAAGCAAAGTGCTGTAAAGTGAAGCGCTGTAAAGCAAAGCACTGTAAAGTGAAGCGCTGTACAGCGAAGTGCTGTAAAGCAAAGTGCTGTAAAGTGAAGCACTGTAAAGCAAAGCACTGTAAAGTGAAGCACTGTAAAGCAAAGCACTGTAAAGTGAAGCACTGTACAGCAAAGTGCTGTAAAGCAAAGTGCTGTAAAGTGAAGCACTGTACAGCGAAGTGCTGTAAAGCAAAGTGCTGTAAAGTGAAGCACTGTACAGCGAAGTGCTGTAAAGCAAAGTGCTGTAAAGTGAAGCGCTGTAAAGCAAAGCACTGTAAAGTGAAGCGCTGTACAGCGAAGTGCTGTAAAGCAAAGCGCTGTAAAGTGAAGCGCTGTAAAGCAAAGCACTGTAAAGTGAAGCGCTGTACAGCGAAGTGCTGTAAAGCAAAGCACTGTAAAGTGAAGCACTGTAAAGCAAAGCACTGTAAAGTGAAGCGCTGTACAGCAAAGCGCTGTAAAGTGAGGGTCTGCCTGTATAATTTCATACAATGAATAATTCAACTTTACATGTCCTGATTTGTGCATTTGTGTCTAATTCCCATAAAAATGAAATAGATTTGATACAAACCACATTCATTACCTAGGCATGTGTGCCTCAGCCATCCATTGCAAGTCCATGTTGCAAGCCAGGATAGGCAGGTGCGGATAGGGAGCTGTGGGGTTAGACAGCAGATCGCCTCCTGTCATCAATACATCGATGAGAAGCTGAAGCGACGTCTCCCACCTCACAGGTTCTCCAAACAACATAATGGCATCAAGTTTGGGGATATGTGGTGCTGATTCAACTGGCTGCAACAAACAGTTTTATGTATTTACGTGTTTATATGCCCGAAATGCTCTTCATGTTAGTGACTTTCTTCGTGTTCATCAATATTGTATTGCATGTCAGCTGCTCATTGTTTACCTTGTTATGAATATTATTATGATTACGCAGTGTTACCCATCGCTTAACAAACATTATAATCTGTGAAAATATTTCTTTGGCTTTAAAGATAAAGATTTTATTTCTTTGCAAAGGTTACAATGTGTAATTACAATTTTGATCTGTTAAATACAAAGAAAGCCTCTATGATGCCAGGGCATTTCATTACACTATTAAGTTTTTGGAAATAAGCAAGAACCCCAGTGGAACAAGTCACTGTACGACTTCTCTGGTTTATCCCAGTGGGTGATTTGCACATATGTTAAACCACTGTATGGATAATGTGAGGAATCACAAAAGTAAGTTAGTTTTATTATGTTTATTATGCACCCCATACCCATCCTGTGGGCAGTAGTCACCCCATACCCATCCTGTGGGTGGTAGTCAAAAGATTACAGAGGTACATAATGGGTCCAGGGACTGGACCCTAAAATTATGATAGCTGAGCAAGTTACAAAGGTAATGAACTCCAGGTAGATCTGGTTACAATCATGACACAAAAGTAGTGGTTATTTTGTATATTGTGATATCATCTGTTTATTCTTTTATTATTATTATCACACTGGCCGATTCCCACCAAGGCAGGGTGGCCCGAAAAAGAAAAACTTTCACCATCATTCACTCCATCACTGTCTTGCCAGAAGGGTTCTTTACACTACAGTTTTTAAACTGCAACATTAACACCCCTCCTTCAGAGTGCAGGCACTGTACTTCCCATCTCCAGGACTCAAGTCCGGCCTGCCGGCTTCCCTGAACCCCTTCATAAATGTTACTTTGCTCACACTCCAACAGCACATCAAGTATTAAAAACCATTTGTCTCCATTAACTCCTATCAAACATGCTCACGCATGCGTGCTGGAAGTCCAAGCCCCTCGCACACAAAACCTCCTTTACCCCTCCCTCCAACCTTTTCCTAGGCCTACCCCTACCCCGCCTTCCTTCCACTACAGAATGATACACTCTTGAAGTCACTCTGTTTCGCTCCATTCTCTCTACATGTCCGAACCCACCTCAACAACCTTCTTCAGCCCTCTGGACAACAGTTTTGGTAATCCCGCACCTCCTCCTAACTTCCAAACTACGAATTCTCTGCATTATAATTCACACCACACATTGCCCTCAGACATGACATCTCCACTGCCTCCAGCCTTCTCCTCGCTGCAACATTCATCACCCATGCTTCACACCCATAATAAGAGCGTTGGTAAAACTATACTCTCATACATTCCCCTCTTTGCCTCCAAGGACAAAGTTCTTTGTCTCCACAGACTCCTAAGTGCACCACTCACCCTTTTCCCCTCATCAATTCTATGATTCACCTCATCTTTCATAGACCCATCCACTGACACGTCACTCCCAAATATCTGAATACATTCACCTCCTCCATACTCTCTCCCTCCAATCTGATATCCAATCTTTCACCACCTAATCTTTTTGTTATCCTCATAACTTTACTCTTTCCTGTATTCACTTTTAATTTTCTTCTTTTGCATACCCTACTTATAAATTACTAAACGTACCTTTATGCTACGTCTCTTGTGGTCCACACAATCTAACTGGGGATAGGCCTGACGTAATTCATCTACCGTTGTGGTGTTGCAAAAGCCAAGGTTGTGCGCTATCTCTTGGGTCGGGCCTTGTCCGGAGATCAACACCTGCTTGTTGAAATACTGGTCGAACATCTTGAGAGGTGAATGTGCCATAACCACCTGGTCCTCGTGAATCTAGAAATGGAGATGACCATATTAACCTCGAAGCTTGTACGAGAAATCAAATTCTATATTTCTATTTATACAAAAAAAAAAAAAAAGCATGCATGAGTATTTTGGGCAGACTAATTCTAATGCTTACAGGCTATTTAAAACTAGGCATAGGATATAGAATGGTATATTTTAATAATGTGTAATGTATTACAACAATGGGCGGTAGTTTAGCAGCAGAGAAAAAAGTACTTGGAGATTCACTATTCTCTTCACAGTCCCCTCAAGGAAGGTTCCTTGATGCTGGTCAGGGGTTCTTGATCTAGGGAACTGGATCTGTGCTCCAGTTCTCTGAATTAACCCTGAATACCTTCCATCCCCCCCCCCACAGGCGCTGTGCAATCCTACGGGTTTAGTGCTTCCCCCTTGATTATAATAATAATAATAATAATAATAATAATAATAATAATAATCTTTTCACAGTGGTTATTCTGTTTACTGTGATCTTATTGCATATTTATATATATATATATATATATATATATATATATATATATATATATATATATATATATATATATATATATATATATATATATATATATAATATATATATATATATATATATATAATATATATATATATATATATATAATATATATATATATATATATAATATATATATATATATATATATATGTATGTATAGGAGCCTTTGAACCAAGTGAGAGAGTAATTGTGGTAGGGGACCTGAATGCTAAAGTAGGAGAAACTTTTAGAGAGGGTGTGGTAGGTACGTTGGGGTGCCAGGTGTAAATGATAATGGGAGCCCTTTGATTGAACTTTGTATAGAAAGGGGTTTAGTTATAGGTAATACATATTTTAAGAAAAAGAGGATAAATAAGTATACAAGATATGATGTAGGGCGAAATGACAGTAGTTTGTTGGATTATGTATTGGTAGATAAAAGACTGTTGAGTAGACTTCAGGATGTACATGTTTATAGAGGGGCCACAGATATATCAGATCACTTTCTAGTTGTAGCTACACTGAGAGTAAAAGGTAGATGGGATACAAGGAGAATAGAAGCATCAGGGAAGAGAGAGGTGAAGGTTTATAAACTAAAAGAGGAGGCAGTTAGGGTAAGATATAAACAGCTATTGGAGGATAGATGGGCTAATGAGAGCATAGGCAATGGGGTCGAAGAGGTATGGGGTAGGTTTAAAAATGTATTGTTAGAGTGTTCAGCAGAAGTTTGTGGTTACAGGAAAGTGGGTGCGGGAGGGAAGAGGAGCGATTGGTGGAATGATGATGTGAAGAGAGTAGTAAGGGAGAAAAAGTTAGCATATGAGAAGTTTTTACAAAGTAGAAGTGATGCAAGGAGGGAAGAGTATATGGAGAAAAAGAGAGAGGTTAAGAGAGTGGTGAAGCAATGTAAAAAGAGAGCAAATGAGAGAGTGGGTGAGATGTTATCAACAAATTTTGTTGAAAATAAGAAAAAGTTTTGGAGTGAGATTAACAAGTTAAGAAAGCCTAGAGAACAAATGGATTTGTCAGTTAAAAATAGGAGAGGAGAGTTATTAAATGGAGAGTTAGAGGTATTGGGAAGATGGAGGGAATATTTTGAGGAATTGTTAAATGTTGATGAAGATAGGGAAGCTGTGATTTCGTGTATAGGGCAAGGAGGAACAACATCTTGTAGGAGTGAGGAAGAGCCAGTTGTGAGTGTGGGGGAAGTTCGTGAGGCAGTAGGTAAAATGAAAGGGGGTAAGGCAGCCGGGATTGATGGGATAAAGATAGAAATGTTAAAAGCAGGTGGGGATATAGTTTTGGAGTGGTTGGTGCAATTATTTAATAAATGTATGGAAGAGGGTAAGGTACCTAGGGATTGGCAGAGAGCATGCATAGTTCCTTTGAATAAAGGCAAAGGGGATAAAAGAGAGTGCAAAAATTATAGGGGGATAAGTCTGTTGAGTATACCTGGCAAAGTGTATGGTAGAGTTATTATTGAAAGAATTAAGAGTAAGACGGAGAATAGGATAGCAGATGAACAAGGAGGCTTTAGGAAAGGTAGGGGGTGTGTGGACCAGGTGATTACAATGAAACATATAAGTGAACAGTATTTAGATAAGGCTAAAGAGATCTTTGTGGCATTTATGGATTTGGAAAAGGCGTATGACAGGGTGGATAGGGGGCAATGTGGCAGATATTGCAGGTGTATGGTGTAGGAGGTAGGTTACTGAAAGCAGTGAAGAGTTTTTACGAGGATAGTGAGGCTCATGTTAGAGTACATAGGAAAGAGGGAAATTATTTCCCAGTAAAAGTAGGCCTTAGACAAGGTTGTGTGATGTCACCGTGGTTGTTTAATATATTTATAGATGGGGTTGTAAGAGAAGTAAATGCGAGGGTCTTGGCAAGAGGCGTGGAGTTAAAAGATAATCACACATAAAGTGGGAGTTGTCACAGTTGCTCTTTGCTGATGACACTGTGCTCTTGGGAGATTCTGAAGAGAAGTTGCAGAGATTGGTGGATGAATTTGGTAGGTGTGCAAAAGAAGAAAATTGAAAGTGAATACAGGAAAGAGTAAGGTTATGAGGATAACAAAAAGATTAGGTGATGAAAGATTGGATATCAGATTGGAGGGAGAGAGTATGGAGGAGGTGAATGTATTCAGATATTTGGGAGTGGACGTGTCAGCAGATGGGTCTATGAAAGATGAGGTGAATCACAGAATTGATGAGGGGAAAAGGGTGAGTGGTGCACTTAGGAGTCTGTGGAGACAAAGAACTTTGTCCTTGGAGGCAAAGAGGGGAATGTATGAGAGTATAGTTTTACCAACGCTCTTATATGGGTGTGAAGCATGGGTGATGAATGTTGCAGCGAGGAGAAGGCTGGAGGCAGTGGAGATGTCATGTCTGAGAGCAATGTGTGGTGTGAATATAATGCAGAGAATTCGTAGTTTGGAAGTTAGGAGGAGGTGCGGGATTACCAAAACTGTTGTCCAGAGGGCTGAGGAAGGGTTGTTGAGGTGGTTCGGACATGTGGAGAGAATGGAGCGAAACAGAATAACTTCAAGAGTGTATCAGTCTGTAGTAGAAGGAAGGCGGGGTAGGGGTCGGCCTAGGAAAGGTTGGAGGGAGGGGGTAAAGGAGGTTTTGTGTGCGAGGGGCTTGGACTTCCAGCAGGCATGCGTGAGCGTGTTTGATAGGAGTAATGGAGACAAATGGTTTTTAATACTTGACGTGCTGTTGGAGTGTGAGCAAAGTAACATTTATGAAGGGGTTCAGGGAAACCGGCAGGCCGGACTTGAGTCCTGGAGATGGGAAGTACAGTGCCTGCACTCTGAAGGAGGGGTGTTAATGTTGCAGTTTAAAAACTGTAGTGTAAAGAACCCTTCTGGCAAGACAGTGATGGAGTGAATGATGGTGAAAGTTTTTCTTTTTCGGGCCACCCTGCCTTGGTGGGAGTGTGCCAGTGTGATAAAAAAAAAAAAAATATATATATATATATATATATTATATATATATATATATATATATATATATATATATATATATATATATATATATATTTTATCACACTGGCCGATTCCCACCCAGGCAGGGTGGCCCGAAAAAGAAAAACTTTCACCATCATTCACTCCATCACTGTCTTGCCAGAAGGGTGCTTTACACTACAGTTTCATAAATTTTTTTTTGGAGGGGGAAGGGGGTGGAAAACCAGCAGAGACACGAGACGGAATAACTCACCTCGACCCCCAACCACTGAGAGAGCTGGTCGGCCTTTTCGCTACGCAGGGCATTGCCGGCATTGGTGACGAAGACGGTCGGGACGAGAAAATGGCCGAACTTGTCTACCAGTAAGTTAAAGGCCTCGGGAGCTGACGGCAAGATGCGCTTCCCTCTTATTATCACGCCGTCTATGTCGAACAACAGGCCAAAATTTGGAGTTTTTCTCGTGGCCTGAAAATTACATGAGGTGCTGGAGAATCTCGATTCATGATTATCTAATATTACCTAGAGGTATACCTGGAGTATACCTGGATGTATACCTGGAGGTATACCTGGAGTATACCTGGAGGTATACCTGGAGGAATACCTGGAATATACCTGGAGGTATACTTGGAGCTATACCTGGAAGTATACTTGGAATATACTTGGAGGTCTACCTGGAGTATACTTGGAGCATACATAAGGGGGATTACCAATAGACTCCTGGCTGTCTTTAAGCTGGCATTGGACAAGCACCTAAAGTCGGTACCTGACCAGCCGGGCTGTGGCTCGTACGTTGGATTGCGTGCAGCCAACAGTAACAGCCTGGTTGATCAGGCTCTGATCCACCATGAGGCCTGGTCACAGACCGGCCCACGGGGGCGTTGACCCCCAGAACTCTCTGCAGGAAAACTCCAGGTAAACAACCAGGGGTCTTGAAGACAACCAGGGGTCTTGAAGACAAACAGGAGTCTTGAAGACAACCAGGGGTATTGAAGACAACCAGGGGTATTGAATACAACCAGGGGTATTGAAGACAACCAGGGGTATTGAAGACAACCAGGGGTCTTGAAGACAACCAGGGGTCTTGAAGACAACCAGGGGTATTGAAGACAACCTGGGGTATTGAAGACAACCAGGAGTCTTGAAGACAACCAGGGGTATTGAAGACAACCAGGAGTCTTGAAGACAACCAGGGGTATTGAAGACAACCAGTAGTCTTGAAGCCAACCAGAGGTCTTGAAGACAACCAGGGAGCTATTGGCAATCCCACTTATGTATGCTGGGAGGCAGTTGAACAGTCTTGGGCCCTGACACTTATTGTGTTGTCTCTCAGTGTACTCGTGGCACCTCTGCTTATCATCGGGGGAATGTTGCATCTCCTGCCCAGTTTTCTGCTTTCATAGGGAGTGATTTTCGAGTGCAAATTTGGGATTAGTCCCTCTAGGATTTTTCAAGTGTATTTTATCATGCATCTTCGTCGCCTGTGTGCCAGGGAATACAAATCAAGGGACTTCAATCATTCTCAGTAATTTAGGTGCTTCATGGTACTTATGTGTGCCGTGAAAGTTCTCTGTACACTCTCCAGGTCAGCAATTACTCCTACCTGGAAAGTGGCAATTAATGTACAGCAATATTCCAGCCTAGAGAGAACAAGTGATTTGAAGAGTTTCCTCATGGGATTAGAGTCCCTAGTTTTGAAGGTTCTCATCATTTTTCTAACAGATGTGGTAGATACATTGTTATGATCATTGAAAGTGAGATCCTTAGACATTATCACTCCCAGGTCCTTCACATTACTTTTTCGATCTATTGTGTGGTTGGAATTTGTTTTACACTCCGATACAGTTTTAATTTCCTCAAGTTTTCCATAACGCAGTAATTGAAATTTCTCAACATTAAACATCATATTGTTTTCTGTGGCCCATTTAAAGATTTGGTTGATGTCCGCCTGGAGTCTTGTAGTGTCTGCAGTGTAAGTCACTGTTGTGGCAGGTCGGGTGTCATCCGTAAAGGAAAACACGGTGCTGTGGCTTATATCCCTCTCCATGTCTGATATGAGGATGAGGAACAGGATGGGAGCCAGTACTGTACCTTGTAGAACACTGGGAGCCAGTACTGTACCTTGTAGAACACTGGGAGCCAGTACTGTACCTTGTGGAACACTGGGAGCCAGTACTGTACCTTGTAGAACACTGGGAGCCAGTACTGTACCTTGTGGAACACTGGGGCCAGTACTGTCCCTTGGGAACACTGGGACCCAGTATGTCCCTTGTAGAACACGGGAGCCAGTATGTACCTTGTAAAACTGGGAGCCAGTACTGTACCTTGGGCACACTGGGAGCAGTACGTACCTTGTAGAAACACGGGGAGCCGTTTGTACCTTGGGGCCCCGGGGAGCCAGACTGTCCCTTGTAGAACATGGGAGCCAGTCTGTACCTTGGGGCACACTGGGACCCAGTACTGTACCTTGTAAAAATGGGAGCCATACTTGTCCCTTTGCAGAACACGGGGAGCCATACTGTACCTTGTAGAACACTGGGACCCCAGTACTGTACCTTGTGGCACCTGGGGCCAGTACTGTCCCTTGTAGAACACGGGGACCCGTACTGTACCTTGTGAACACTGGGACCCAGTACTGTCCCTTTGTGGAACACTGGGAGCCGTACTGTACCTTGGGGAAAACACTGGGAGCCAACTGTACCTTGTGGAACAGGGGAGCCATACTGTACCTTGTAGAACCTGGGGACAGACTGTCCCTTGGGGAACACTGGGAGCCGTACTGTCCCTTTGGGGAAAACACGGGGACCCATATTGACTTTGGAACACTGGGGCAGTACTGTACCTTTAGAACACTGGGACCCTACTTCCTTGGGGAACACTGGGAGCCAGTACTGTCCCTTGGGGAAACAGGGGAGCCAGTATTGTACCTTTGGAACAGGGGAGCCTATGTCCCTTGTGGAACACTGGGGCCAGTACTGTACCTTGTGGAACAATGGGACCCAGTATGTACCTTGTGGAACACGGGGGAGACATACTAACTTTTGTGGCAGGGGGGCCCGTATGTCCTTGTGGAAAGGGACCCAGTATGACCTTGTGGAACACGGGAGCCAGACTGTACCTTGTGAAACAGGGGAACATACTGTCCTTGGGGGAACATAAGGGGAAGTACTGCACCTTGTGGAACACTGGGAGCCAGTATGTACCTTGGGGAAACAGGGAGCCAGTACTTCCCTTGGGGAACAGGGAGCCGTACTGTACCTTGTAAAAACATGGGACCCAGTATGTACTTATGGAACATGGGCAGTTTTGTACCTTGTAAAACAGGGGCAGACTGTATTTTAAACACATAATTTTAACCAACACGGGACTATTTACCTTGTGGAACACGGGAGCAGTATGAAACCTGGGAAACTGGGAGCAGAAAGTCCCCTTGTGGAACACTGGGAGCCGTACTGTACCTTTGTGGAAACGGGAGCCAGTACTTCCCTTGGGGAAAACACTGGAGCCGTACGTACCTTGTAAAAAACGGGAGCCAGTACTGTACCTTGTGGAAACTGGGAGCCGTCTGTACCTTGGGGAAACTGGGGCCAGTACGTACCTTGTGGAACATGGGACCCCAGACGCCCTTTGGGAACCGGGGAGCAGTACGTCCTTGTGGAACACTGGGACCCGTCTGTCCCTTGGGAAACTGGGAGCCAGTACGTTTTTGGGGAAACCCGGGGGGCCGTACTTTTACCTTGGGGAAACACTGGGCCCCGTCGTCCCTTGGAACACGGGGGCCCAGTACTGTCCTTGTGGAACAGGGGACCCAGTCGTCCCTTGTGAAAAACTGGGGAGCCAGTACTGTACCTTTTGGAACACTGGGAGCGTATGTACCTTGGGGAAAAAGGGGCCCGTACTGTCCCTTTGACACTGGGACCAGTACTTCCCCTGTGGAAAGGGGAACCAGTACTGTATTGGGGTACACGGGGAGCCAGTATATCCCTTGGGGAACACGGGGAGCCGTACTGTCCCTTGTGGAACACGGGGACAGAAATTCCCTTGTAAAACACTGGGGCCATACTGTCCCCTTGGGGAAACACTGGGAGCCGTACTGTCCTTGTAAACACTGGGGGCAGTACGTCCCTTGTGGAAAACTGGGAGCCAGTACGTCCCTTTGTGAACACTGGGGCCATACTGTCCTTGTGGAACCGGGGGAGCCAGACTGTACCTTTAAAACCCGGGGGGCCCGTACGTACTTGTGAACACTGGGACCCAGTACTGTACTGTGGAACACGGGGAGCCATTGTACCTTTAAAACATGGGACCCAGTATGTACCTTGTGAAACACTGGGAGCCAGTAGTACCTTTAAAAACCTGGGACCCAGTATGTACCTTGTAAAACCTGGGAGCCAGACGTCCCTTGAGAACACTGGGAACAGTATGTACCTTGTAAACATGGGACCCCATACGTACTTGTAGAACATGGAGCAGTACTGTACCTTGTAGAAAGGGGGAAGAGTCCCTGAGAAAGGGATATTCCGGGGGTAAAAGACCTCCCCGGTTTGAATGTCCGGGGTAAACCCCTTTCCCGGCTGTTACTCTCCCCGGTCAACCCCCAACCCCCCTACCCCAAACCCCCACACCCCCGGGGTGGTCAGGTACCGATTTTTAGGTGCTTGCCCAGTCCCAGCTTGAAGACTGCCAGGGGTTGTTGGTAACCCCCCTTTATGTAGCGGGGAGCGTTAAAAATTTCGGGCCCCCTGACACTTATTGTATGATCTTTTAAACGGCTGTGACCCCCTGCTTTTCTTTTGGGGATGTTGCATCGTCTCCCAATCTTTTGCTTTGTAGGGAGTGATTTTCTTTGGAAGTTCGTTCTATCCCTCTGGGATTTTCCGGGTGTATAAATCTCTCCCCCTGCTTCCCGGGGGAAAAAAGGTTTGGGAACCTAAAGCGCTCCCAATTGAGGGTTTTTATCTTGTTATGCACGCCGTGAAGGTTCTCTGACATTTTTTAGGTCAGCAATTTTACCTGCAATATTCAGCCCCAGATAGAACAAGGACCTGAAGGAGGTATCATGGGCTTGGCCTCCCTAGTTTTGAAAATTCTCTTTTCCATCCTGTCATTTTTTAGCAGCTGCGATTTATACAATGTTTGGTCTTAAGGTGAGATCCCCCGCATGATCACTCCCAGGTCTTGCGTTTGGTGTTTGCTCTATTTTGTGGGCCAGAATTTGTTTGTACTTGTAAGATTTAATTTCCCCCGTGTTTTCCATATTTGAAGTAATTGAAATTTCACATCGTTGAAATTATATTGTTTTTTTGCAGCCCCTGAAAAATTTGGTTGTGTCCCCCTGGGCCTTGCAGTGTCTGCAATGGAAGGGGCACTGTTTTGTGCAGATCGGGTGTCATCGCAAAGGAAGACCGGGGGCTGTGGGGTGACATCCTTTTCTATTCAGAATGAGGGTGGGGAACAAAATGGGAGCAAGTACTGTGCCTTGTGGAACAAAAACTTTTTCACCGTAGCTGCCTCGGACTTTACTCTGTTGACGACTACTCTCTGTGTTCTGTTAGTGAGGAAATTATAGATCCATCGACCACCTTTCCCTTTTATTCCTTTAGCACGCATTTTGTGCGCTATTACGCCATGGTCACACTTGTCGAAGGCTTTTGCAAAGTTTGTATATATTACATCTGCATTCTTTTTGTCTTCTAGTGCATCTAGGACCTTGTCATAGTGATTCAATAGTTGAGACAGACAGGAGCGACCTGTTCTAAACCCATGTTGCCCTGGGTTGTGTAACTGATGGGTTTCTAGATGGGTGGCGATCTTGCTTCTTAGGACCCTTTCAAAGATTTTTATATGGGATGTTAGTGCTATCGGTCTGTAGTTCTTTGCTGTTGCTTTACTGCCCCCTTTGTGGAGTGGGGCTATGTCTGTTGTTTTTAGTAACTGTGGGACGACCCCCGTGTCCATGCTCCCTCTCCATAGGATGGGAGCCAGTACTGTACCTTGTGGAACACTGGTAGCCAGTACTGCTCCTTGTAGAACACTGGGAGCCAGTACTGTACCTTGTGGCACACTGGGAGCCAGTACTGTACCTTGTGGAACACGGGGAGCCAGTACTGTACCTTGTGGAACACTGGGAGACAGTACTGTACCTTGTAGAACAGAAATTTTCACCGTAGCCGCCTCAGACTTTACTCTGTTTACTATTACTCTCTGTGTTCTGTTTGTTAGGAAGTTATAGATCCATCTACCAGCTTTTCGTAAGTAAATATACTAACCGGCATCTAATGTAGCATATAGAGAAGGAAAATAAGCAAAGGTTTGCAACGAGACTAGTCCCAGTGATAAGGGTAAAGGAGTTAAACCTGATCAAACTAGAGGACAGAATGACCAGGGATGAATTTAATTACGATAAGGGAGAACACAGTAAGTGTCAGGAGCCGAGACTGTTCGACTGCCTGCCAGAATACATTAGGGGGATTGCCAATAGACTTTTACCTGTCTTCAAGACCCCTGGTTGTCTTCAAGACTCCTGGTTGTATTCAATACCCCTGGTTGTCTTCAAGACTCCTGGTTGTATTCAATACCCCTGGTTGTCTTCAAGACCCCTGGTTGTCTTCAAGACGCCTGGTTGTCTTCAAGACTCCTGGTTGTCTTCAAGACCCCTGGTTGTCTTCAAGACGCCTGGTTGTCTTCAAGACCCCTGGTTGTCTTCAAGACGCCTGGTTGTCTTCAAGACTCCTGGTTGTCTTCAAGACCCTGGTTGTCCTTAAAGACTCCTGGTTGTCTTCAAGGACGGCCTGGTTGTCTTCAAGACTCCTGGTTGTATTCAATACCCCTGGTTGTCTTCACGACTCCTGGTTGTCTTCAAGACCCCTGGTTGTATTCAATACCCCTGGTTGTCTTCAAGACCCCTGGTTGTCTTCAAGACCCCTGGTTGTCTTCCAGACCCCTGGTTGTCTTCCAGACCCCTGGTTGTCTTCCAGACCCCTGGTTGTCTTCAAGAAGGTGCTGGACAGGCACCTAAAGTCACTAACTGATTAGCCGGGCTGTGGTTCATACGTTGGTTTACATGCGTCCAACAGTAACAGCCTGGTTGATCAGTCCCTGATCCACAACCAGGCCTGGTCTTAGACCGTGCTGCGGGGGCATTGACCCCTGAAACCGTCTCCAGGTATCGAACCCGGACACCTCACCGTGTGAAGCGTTTGCTTTTGCCATCAGGCCACGGGCCAACTGGCTTATTTCCTGTGGGTCCTTGACCTATTTCCAGTGGGTCATTGACCTATTTCCAGTGGGTCATTGACCTATTTCCAGTGGGTTTCCCTTTACCTATTTCCAGTGGGTCATTGACCTATTTCCAGTGGGTCATTGACCTATTTCCAGTGGGTCCTTGACCTATTTCCAGTGGGTCCTTGACCTATTTCCAGTGGGTCCTTGACCTATTTCCAGTGGGTCATTGACCTATTTCCAGTGGGTCCTTGACCTTATTTCC